TTTCCTCTAACTTTATCATCGAGCACCAACTTCACAAGTTTTTTCGTGCGTTGTTTTCGCATCTATCTGCACAACTCTACACCCTCTTTCATCGGTGTTAAATACGTATTTGTGTTTTTATACCCAATTACCGGAACCGGATCAACCATATCGGGAGAAGGATGAAAGAAATTGAAGAAGAATGAGGAAGACGATGAGGAATTGCAAGTTCCGGTGATGTGATAAACTCAGGTGAAGAAAACGAGTTGAGAAAATTTGGCCCTATTTTTTTGTCCTTTGATGATGATGACATGGAATGATGACATGGAATGTTGCATCCACGTCATTTTTTAATTGATGAAGTGGCAAGTAAGCCACCAAACGAAAATGTAAATCAACTTAATTAAACCAGCCATCAAACAAAACTTTAACTGAGCCGCAACATGAATACTATTACAGTAATTAAAAAACGAAAAAACGGCAGCCAAATTCAGCCGTTTACTGTCGTAACTCAACAAAAAATATTTAACTCAGTCGTGTCATTTAATAAGTCGGCCGTCATTGCATGCTATTCTAGTAATTAATCTTTCGCTACTAAGTCAGCCATAATAAGGCCGAGTTTTCCGTTAATCCAGCTCATTACGGCTGATTTATGATACTCGAACATAAATCAGCCGTAACATCATCCCATAACTAAGCCGTCTTTGATAACTCAGCCAGCCGGAGAAAGTTAAGTCAGCCGTGTCGAAGCAATAACTCAGCCAAAAATTTGACAAATCAACCATCGGGTGAAAACTCAGCCGTAACTTAGGCTGGGTTATGCTCGAAAGTCAGCCATTTTATCATAACTCAGACAGATTTCAGTAAGTCAGCCGTAACTCCAGGCTGGGTTATACTCGTAAGTCAGCCGTTTGCTCATAACTCAGCCATTTTTCTTAAATCAGCCGCAACATACCGTAACTCAGCCGTCATTGCCGCTATATCGCTCGACGGCTGAGTTCATTAATACACGTCAGCAATTTCTGACGTGGTGACACGGCTTTGCTGACGTGGCAGTGGCATTCTTTGTAATTACGTTTTTTCCTGTAACGTTTAACAGGGGCACGCTGGGTATAAAAAATATACCCGAAATATGATAGTAATAAAAAAAGATCTGTATGTTTCTGGTAATTTCATATAAAATGTATAACATCTGAGTAAATCTCCCTTTTAATAAATCTGTCAAAATTACGAAAGTCTATGATGTCATCATAATATAAGGGGGTGTTATTCAACCATGGAGTTAAAGTCAATTCTTTAAGGTTTAGATTTGTTTTCTGATATTGTTTTTAAGAATCTGTTTGTGTGGATTTCAAAATCTCTGCAGTATATCTTGGATTTTGATTCTAATAATTTACTCATAAAACTCCAAAGAGGTTTCATTTCAAATGATTTAATATACAAAGATTTTACAAGTCTTTTAGTTTTGAATAACACTGGATTTTAATGAAGTATTTTAAATCTTAGTTGAATAACACCAAACTATTAAAATCTAATGAAGTATAAGATCCAATAACACCAAATTTTAAAGTTAGATTTAGAATCATTAGTTTAATAACACCGGATTAGTGTTGGATTTCAATTCTATTAAAATCCATCAATGAATAACACCACCTAAGTCTAACGTGTGGAAAAAAATCTGCTACAAATTAAAAATATGTCATAAGTATATTCTGATAAGTCTGTGGGAGGAAAAAAATTTGGCGCAGAAAATCTGTCGTAGCCAATTAAGTCTGTCGTAAAAAAATAAACCTGTCACAACTAAAGCCGCAGACTTTTAATGGCAGATTTTTCTCTTTCAAAAATTTTCACCAACGTTTTTTTAAAAAATTGAGGGTAATTTTGAATTTTATTTTTTTCCTAACAAATGAAAAAGGGTATTTTGGTCATGAAAATAACTAGATTAACCTTTAAATTTCATAAGTTATTTTAGTAATTAAATCTAAATTTTGGGTCAAACTAGTATTTTTTACTTGGTAATTTTTTGTTTTTGAGAAAGGGTTATTTACTTGTCAAATTGTAACCCATTAATATACAAAAATGAGTTTTCTTATTTATACTCTAGTAAATTAACATGATTACGAGGATATATATGAATGATAGTGTTTTTATTCCTGGTCTTTTTTTTTCTAATGTAAGTTGTCATTTGATCACATCTTACGCAGCATGTCCAAAAAATTTATTAGAGACTTAATCATTGAAGAGAATATGAAACACAATCAATATGTATTGTACTTCTTCAATTGTTTTCACATGTAAATAACATAGTTATTATCCTCCAGTTCGAGGCCTTATTATTCACTTAACGACTCTGTAACTAACTTACAACAATATCAAAGGAAGAAAATGAGCTCCACGTGAACATAGACTCACGAAGCTTCAAAGAAAACCAACAACAGAAACAGAGCAAGCTTTTGAGACTACTGTCAAAAAAAAAAGCAAGCTTTTGAGAGTGAATTTAGTAGGCCTGGGCTTTCGGTTATCCGTTCGGTTATCGGTTGGGTCCATTCGGTTTTCGGTTCTTTCGGTTTTAAAATTTAGTATCCATTCGGATATTTTGAAATTTCGGTTCGGTTTCGGTTTGGTTTCGGTTCTTTCGGTTTTAAAATTTAGTATCCATTTGGTTATTTTGCTTAGGATATTTTTGGATTTTTCGGTTATTTTGAGTATTTTCGAATATTTTTGGATATTTTTCGGTTATTTTTGAGTATTTTTACTATTTTTATAGATTTTTCAAGTATTTTTGATTATTTGGTCAATAAATAACTAATTATTTCGAAAATACAATTGTATTTCGGGTATTTCGGTTACCCGAAATATTTCGGTTCGGTACCGATTCGGTTACGGTTATTTCGGTTATCAAATTTAGTATCCATTCGGTTATTTTCAAATTTTCGGTTCGGTTCGGTTCGGTTTTTTTTTGCTTCGGTTTCGGTTCGGTTTAAAAGCCCAGCCCTAGAATTTAGTAGACTAATTCGGCCCATTTCATTCAAAGTCCAGCCACTTAGATTTAGGCTGCTTTTTAGCCTCCCAAAAAATTAAATTTCAACTTTCAGGAGCCAAGTTTATTCAAGCTTTGTTTATTTTTTCGGTTTTGGGTTTTTCTGATCAAAATGATATTTGTTTTTCTGGTTTGTTTACCAAGTTTCATGGATGAAACAAAATTATTTCATCTGTCATATGTCACTCATATCCGTTTCATTCACCTCCATTTCATATACATAATCTTTGTTCTACTAATTCTTTTAATGTTCACCACTTAGATCTTCAATCAAAAAGTAAACATGCAAAAACTAAACCATGATTACATCGTGTCATATCATTATGGAACCATAACATCGATATAAGCTCACACTTAGCAAGAGATATTGTCATATATTCGTGTACAAGAACAAGGACACACTAGTAAAATAGTCTCTTTATTTATTGAGAACAGTAGATACATATATTGATCAATCCAATGATACAAACCATACATATATATATATATATGTTATTAGATTAAGTTACTTACATATCAAACCAAAATATCTGCAGAACCTTCTTAATTAGATAGGTATTGTCACCTGGAGGGACGAGGTAGTCAATGCCGACTGGAATTTCAAGACAGTATTTTTTGCACATCTTTTCACATAGGACATGAGTCCCATTTTTTACCACTTTCACACACTGGTTAGGGACACAATTGTTATAATATTGAAAGTCTTAGCACATAACCAAATGCCACTTTATTTTTTGACCTTGTAACCATATATATGTTGCATACAAAAATCTATTTTGAACAAAAGTATGCAATCTCTCTAAAAATATTTGTCGCTTGTATGTATAATAGTATCTTACTATCTTACATGAAAAGTATTAACTAAGTGCTAAAAGACTCTATTGCATGGGTTTTAGTATCTGGTTTTGGTCACAAATGTGAAAACACAGTGTCAACATATACTTTTATATTTAAGATGGTTTCTTATATTTTCAATAGAATCGGTTTTCGTAGTTTGAAATGTTTAAATACCGCAAGTGAGAAATAAAGAGCACAACTAACGTCATTGCAATTCGATGAAGGGATGGGATTAATAAAAATTGTAGTTATATAATTACTGTATTTTGGTTTGTTTGATTTTATTTTTGATTAGGAATGTGATGAGCTCTTGTGCAAAGGCTAAAACCACTCTCAAAAGGATTGTTCTTCATTCTTTTTGCTCTTCGATGCCACCAAAGCTAGCCTCTCCTCTCAGTGAGTCTCATTGGATAGACCCTGATATTGCAAACGCTTCAATGTGAGAAAACACTTCTTATCTTCATAAAGATTTTTGTTGTGATTTTGGTGAATTTGATGAACTCGCAATTTGAAGTAAACTAGGACTATTTTGATGTAAATAAATCTTAATTGATTTGATTGATGCACAGCTTTATAGAGTTAGTTGAACGAGAAGGAATCTAGACTCTAAGGACGTCGATTGCGAGTCGAGATAATAAATATGCATGAAAAATAAAAATCGCTAATAATAAGTTAATAATGCTATACAAATATTGGTGATATATATTGAATTTTTATAATTGATTTGTTTTAATGTAAAATTTAAACCACAAAACCGATCAGGTTAATCATAAACAAAACCAAACGGTTTTCATTTACATATGTATTTTTTCGATATATTCGGTATAGTTCAATTGAAATGGATTCAATCTAAGAATTAGAGAGTTTTTTTCCTTTCTTTTTTAATAATTATGAGTTGAAGAGTTGTTTGCAAGGTTGAGGTTTCAGATTTCCGGAAGATAAACTGTGAAGCGATCCAGAAGATAAATGCGATTTAAATTTACATCATTTGAATTCCTTTAGCTGGATTATTAAGATATAAAATGAGCGACAACATGCATATTTGTTACAAGAAAACTGACGTGAGAACAATTAGACAACATTGTATAAGAATTGGATTAACATATATGAAGAAACAAACAATGAGAGCTTTTTTGATTATAGATTAATTAATAGCACCACACAGATTAGGAAACCATCTGCAAAACCGGCTTTTAGTAGGCACAATGTATTTTTCTTTACCATTTTGTAGGTCATTGCAAAGTTTTTTGCAAGCATCCTCGCACATTGTAGGAGTAGCGTTTTTAACTTCTTTCAAACATTGGTTTGAGACACAATGTTTGATACACATATCTACATTATTCGAATGTGAGATTTGTGCTGAAAACATCATTGTGATTAAAGCTGTAACAATCAAAAGATTGCATGTTTTCTTCAAACTTTGAGCTGCCATATCGTATACGAATGTAGTGATATTGATTAGAACAAATATTATAAATAAAGAAGATGATTTGGTGAAGAATGTTGTGTTTGTCTAGGTGATTTATATAGTGAAGGTAATGTTATCTATTTATAGAATTGGTTTTTTTGTTCGTCTTTCACGATGGTGAAGATTGCATCTCTGTGATTTAGTGTTATGGTAATCCAAACAACTTTATTGTTATGAGATCTAAAGTCAAAACTCTGTTTCATTCACGTCCATTTAACTTTCGGCTTCGATAAGGCCAATGGTAAGAGAGCCATGCGTGGGCATCTTAATTAGTCGTTATCTTCGAAATTATCACATTTTCGAAAAAGTCATATTTTTTACTTGTCAATTTCTTTTTTGAGAAAGGGTTATTACTTATCAAATTGTAATCCATTACTATACAAAAATGAGTTTTCTTATTTATACTCTAGTACATTAACATGATTACGAGGATATATATGATTGATAGTGTTTTTATTCCTGGTCTTTTTTTTCTAATGTAAGTTGTCATTTGATCACATCTTACGCAGCATGTACAATAAAATTATTAGAGATTAATTAATCATGTAAGAGAATATGAAACACAATCATTATGACATTATGTATTGTACTTCTTCCATTGTTTTCACATGTAAATAACAATTAGTATCCTCTAGTTCGAGGCCTTATTCCCTTAACGACTCCTTAACTAACTTACAACAATATCAAAGGAAGAAAATAAGCTCCACGTAAACATATAGACTCGCGAAGCTTCAAAGAAAACCAACAACAGAAATAGAGCAAGCTTTTGACTTTTGAGAGTGAATTTAGTAGACTAATTCGGCCCATTTCATTCAAAGCCCAGCCACTTAGATTAAGGCTGTTTTTTAGCCTCCCAAAAATTTAAATTTCAACTTCTAGGACTAGGAGCCAAGTTTAATCAAGCTTTGTATATTTTTTCGGTTTTGGGTTTTTCTGATCGAAATGATATTTGTTTTTCTGGTTTGTTTACCAAGTATATTTTTTGATCGAAATGGGTGAAACAAAATTAGTCATCTGTCATATCCGTTCCATTCACCTCCATTATATATTGTACATAAGCTTTGTTCTACTAATTCTTATAATGTTCACCACTTAGATCTTAAATCAAAAAGTAAACATGTATAAACCAAACCATGATTACATCGTGTCATATCATTCTGGAACCATAATATCGCTATGAGCTGACACTTAGCAAGAGATATAGTCATATATTCCTGTACAAACAAGGACACACAAGTAAAATTAGTCTCTTTATTTATTGAGAGCAATAGATACATATATTGGAGATATTGATCAATCCAATGATACAAAGCATGCATATATATATATATATATATATATATATATATGTTATTAGATTAAGTTACTAACATATCAAACCAAATATCTGCACAACCTTCTTAGATAGGTATGGTCACCTGGAGGGACGATGTAGTCAACTTTGACTGGCCCTTCAAGACAGTATTTTTTGCACATCTCTTCACATATGACAGGAGTCCCGTTTTTTACCACTTTCATACACTGGTTTGGGACACATTTCAAATTGATACACATATCTACATTATTCGAATGTGAGATTTGTGCCGAAAACATCATTGTGATTAAAGCTGTAACAATCAGAAGATTGCATGTTTTCTTCAAACTTTGAGCTGCCATAACGTATATAAATGCTGTGATATTGATTAGAACAAAAGTTATAAATAAAGAAGATGATTTGGTGAAGAATGTGAAGACATATGGATGTCGGGCTACATGAAGATCCTGTGGAGCACATGAGAGAGCTGTATGCGGGAAACTGCAAGACATTAAATGAAGATGATGTGGCGAGCAGTGATTGGTGATTGGAAGTTTCCAGAACGTGATGCTCAAGTTATTCGGTGTATTGAAGATACGATCAAATCAAGGAAAGAAGATTTGGTGTGATCTGAAGATTAGGAAAGTTGTCTATGACGCTTCCTTTATATTCGCAGTCTAGACTTTAGGTTTAGGTGGGCGTTTAGACTATCTCTGTGAATCTCAAGTACTAGGCTAGAAGCTGTTAGGGTTCTTGGTGAGTGAACAGAGTGTATGCATAGCTGTTGCTGTGTTGTGAGTTTGGGTAGATTAAGAATTGGTCAGTGACGAGTTGTGTCAACGTCGTGTAAATCTGATTAAACATATCTTGTAGATTGTTTAAGTGATTCTTAATAAAGGAAAAGAAGTTCTTTTCAATTGCCTCAACATCTATATAATAATAATTGGTATCAGAGCGGGTGACCGACCTGAGTACTAACTCAATACAGGTTAAGATCCTGCAGATTAGAGATGTCGAAGGCAGAACTCAACAGACCGGTGATGCTGGATCACAAAGGCTACGGTCACTGGAAAACTCGGATGATGTAGTTAATCAGAGGAAAGGGAGAGGACGCCTGGACTGCAGTTGAAGATGGCTGGGAACCTCCGTTCAGCACAACAGAAGACGGTCTGAAAGTGAAGAAACCAAAAGCTAACTGGACTGATGCAGAAAAGAATTTATCCAAGTTCAATGCAAGGGCTATGAATGCTATCTATTCATGCCTTGATGATGATGAATTCAATCTGGTTCAAGGAAGTGAGAATGCTAAACAGATGTGGGATATTCTGCAGAAAACCCATGAGGGCAACACTGGTGTAAAACGCACCAGGCTGGACCAGTTGGCTACAGACTTTGAAAATCTGAAGATGGATCCTTCAGAAACAATTGTTCAGTTCAGTTCTAAGCTGAGTGGGATTGCAAACGAAGCAAAATCATTAGGGAAAACGTACAAGGAGAAAAAGCTGGTGAAGAAGATGCTTCGTTGCCTACCACCGAAATACGCTGCACACAAAGCTGTCATGAGAGTTTTAGGAAACACAGATACCCTGAAATATGAAGATCTGGTTGGGATTCTAAAGTCTGAAGAGATGGAAGTTGCTGAAGATCAACGAAACCAGAATAAAGGAATAGCGGTCAAAGCTGATGAAGAAAATGGTCCAGATCCGCTGCAAGAAATAAGAGACAATCTGTCTCTCATGGCCAGAAATTTCGGAAAAGCTTTGAAACAGGTTAAAGAGGGTAAGGACACAGACAGCAGGGACACAAGAGAGATCAGTAGCTGGAACAGAAGTGATGCTGAAAAGTCAGGCAGCAGGCATGTAAGGAGCGAATCATCAGGAAGGAAACGTGATCTGAAATGTCACGAGTGTGGAGGTATAGGACATACTCGACCTGAATGTCCTGTGGCAAGACGCAAGGAGCTGAAGTGCTATGAGTGTAATGGATTTGGTCATGTAAAATCAGAATGTCCAAGTTCACAGAAAGGTAAAGAGAAATCTTTGTTGAGCTTCAGTGAGTCTGAATCAGATAGTGATGGTGAAGCTGAACCTATGATGAATTTTGTCGCATTCAGTGCAAAAGATCAGAATAACTCCAGTGAGGATTCTGATTCAGATAATGATGATGGAAATCAGATCACTAGTGACGACTACAAGACTCTGTATGACAGCTGGATCTCTCTGAGCAATGACAAGCTGCAGCTCACTAAGGAAAAATTGATGGTGGTGGCACAAGTGAACATGCTGGAAGAAGAAGTGGAGGAAGGAAAAATTGGCGAGAAGCTACCTGTGTCAGAAAAGGAGTTTCTTGAGAAGAAAATGAAATGTTTACTTGAGAGCTATGAAAAAGAGAAAGAAAAAGCTTTAATGCTGGAAAGAGAACTGAGTGAGAACCACAAGAAGATTAGAATGCTGAATAATGGTGGTAAAAATCTGGATCAGATTCTGTCCATGGGAATAGTTGGTTCAAGTCATAGAGGATTGGGCTATCAGTCATATGCTCCCAAAGCATATCTGGATATGCCAAAGACAGTTCAGTTCGTGAGGAGTACAACCTATCATGATGAAGAAGCTCAAGTGGAAGAGAAACAGCAGCCTAGGAAGGTGAATCAGAATGCTCCACAGAATACGGCTGTACAATACAGGAAGACTGCACCAAGAAAGACTGCACCCAGAAAGAAGTGGACCAGGTCAAATAATAATATGGCTGTCCAATACAGGAAGACTGCATCAAGAAAGACTGCATCCAGAAAGAAGTGGATCAGGTCAAACAGAGGTCGAAAAGTGTTTGAATGTTTCTATTGTGGAAAACCAGGTCATATCAGAAGGTCTTGTTATAAGTTTCAAGACAAGATCAAGCAACTGTGGCAAGCACGGAAATGCTTTATTGAACCATCCAAGTTTGGTAAAGTATGGGTTCGCAAGATAGACCTGTACAACAAAGATTCAGAGCATGATGAGAAACAGTACAACAAAGCAGTCTCTGAATCTGAAGAAATAAGTCTGACATGTAACGTGACGATTGTACAACTGGATGAGTCTGATAAAGATGAGGAGTTCACTGCAAAGGTAGCTTACACATCTATAGATGGAACTGCAAATAACCCTTGGTACTTTGATAGTGGCTGCTCAAAACACATGACAGGTGATTCAAGTGTTCTGTCAACCTTCACATAAGAGGCCAGTGGAAAAGTTACATTTGGTGATGGTGGTAAAGGACGTATAAGAGGCAAAGGAAACATCGAATGTGATGATCAACCATCACTGATAAATGTGTACTACGTTGAAGGCTTGAAAGAAAATTTGATTAGCATAAGTCAGCTGTGCGATGATGGTCTGAAAGTAATCTTCACTAGGACTGATTGTCAAGCTGTTGATGAAAATGGAAACACTGTACTGTGTGGGGTGCGCTCAGGCAATAACTGCTACATGTGGAAGGCATCAGATATCTGTTTGTCTGTGTCTGTTAATGATCTGGAGCTGTGGTACAAGAGACTTGGACACATGAACGTTCAGACCCTAATTAAGATTGTGAACGCTGGAGTGGTTCGAGGTGTACCAAAACTGGCTGACAAACTGGAGTCTGTATGCAGTGTATGTAACAAAGGAAAGCAGATCAAGGTCAATTATAAGAAGGTACCTGAAATTGAAAGTAAAAAGGTACTTGAGCTGATTCATATAGATCTCATGGGTCCAGTACAAATGGAAAGTATCAATGGGAAGAAGTACATCCTTGTGTTGGTAGATGATTTTTCAAG